TTGAGAAGCCATTGTTATGCGATAAAGCATAATTTAACTTATTGCGTTTTATTAACCCATTATTAGTTTTATTTTATCTATGGTTGCTTAGATCTCGTTATCAAAATGTTTGTTGACTACCCTAATAGTATATTATACTAATATTTATTAAAGCTTTAATACAATTAATTATAAGTAATGTAAGTCTATTCAGAGATGAGTCACTTCGAGTCTCTGGCATTCATATTATTATTACACATATTTTGTATAAATAACTTCAGCTTTATATACAATACAAATAACATAATGTGTTATATTATGAAATAAATAGTTATTTTATCTATAAATATAAAAACTCAAACGTAATGGTATTTTATAATACTTACAGTGCTTTACTTTATTACAATTTATCTATAGATGATAAAAATACCATGACAATCATTATAAATAACTATTTATTATTAACAATATACTGTATATAATAAATATTATTCTGTTTATAATGTGTTTTATGTATAATTAAATTTCTAAAACAATTAATTCACTAATTATACTCACATAAAACAATCATTTGTTAATTGTGTGTAAAATATGGGTTTAAAACTTACGAAAAACAAAAGTCCACAACAATCGGGAGTGGAGTCCAGTAATAGCCGATCCATACATACAAGTGATGTGAGGCCTACGGAACACGAGTCCAATGAACAACTTATTTGATTAATAAATTTATTATCAATGTATTTGCGATTAATTTGTCCAATGATTCACACAATGAAACACTTATCGACGAAAATAGACATAAAAGTGAAGAAAATATGATTAAATCGATTCAATTGTTTCATGTTTTCGACGACAACAGAGGATATAATGTTTTGTTTGTTACAAATGATGACATGGTTTACGGTTTGGGATCTAATTGTTGGGGATCTCTTGGTTTGGGACACAATCTATACATCAATGAAATCCAAGTGATCGACAGATTGTGTCACAAGAATATCACACAATTCTTCAATGGATGCGACTTTGTGTTAGCCCTCACTCAACATAATTGTCTCTATGGTTGGGGTAATAATAATAAGGGGCAGTTAGGTATAGCACACAAGAGTACGGATTCCTTTTATGTAAAAGTTGGACAAATTAATCGCAAATACATTGATAATAAATTTATTAATCAAATAAGTTGTGGTTATTATCACACAATGATTCTAACGAGTGATGGCTGTGTCTATGGATGGGGTTATAATATGTACGGACAGTTAGGTTGTGGACCAGACAATGATATACTAAAGACGATAATATTTCAAGTGAATTTCAATCATATTTACGAAATTAAAAGCATTTATTGTTGTGTTTACTCTTCATTTGCCATCACATCGGAGGGGCAGGTGTTTAGTTGGGGTCGAAATGCTTGGTATAATTTGGGACACAATTCATCGGATAATATATGGAAACCACAACTCATTGCAGACATGACTGGTATTAAGACTATCTGTTCCAGTGGTTTACTCACATTCTTCTTATCAAACGATGGATTTATTAATTTTTGCGGTCGATATAGGAATGAAAATAATGAATATTTGATACAAATAACACCAAAAGTATTAAATACTGATAAGAAATTTACAGAAATAAATATAATTATCTCACATAATTATAACTTGCATCTGGTTATTACTATAATGAATGGAAAAATATATCTGATTAAAGACAAACCAAACGATAATATAATTGAAACAAAATATACAAATATCTTCGAATGTTTTACAAATTTTTATAAAATGACTCATAAAACCATTAATTTATGTGATTATAAGGAATATAATTACAAGAATTGCGAAGAATTTATTGCAAAATGTTTGGATTATTTGGAAAAAGTATTTTCTTCTATAAAAGAGTTATCAAACAATGGTATGAGTTGGTTTTGGGGGTCATTCATAAAGTTCTACAATCAGTCATTTACATCTATGATTAACACAACAATTTAAAATTAGTTAAGAAATAAAATTAACTAGTAGATTTTAGAATATTCTCTTTTCTTATACTTCTACTATTCTTATACTTATGCAAAAATGAATAATAAACCTCAAAATTAATTAGACATTAGTAATCTTCTGAATAAACCTCCCCTCAACTCTGAATACGTACTTTTGAATGACGTTTTTAACATAAATGAATGATTGAATAAATTTATTTATCTTGTTTTCTAGGTGTTTTCGAAGTGAATCAATACAAGCGTGAATATAAAGAGTTGCATTCATTAGGTTCGGGAGCTTTTGGGGAAGTATTTGTTGTTAAAACAAAATATGATGGACAAGAATATGCGGTTAAGAAAATAAGATACGAAGGTAATTTATTTTATTGAATTGAATTTATTGCCATTTAGACACGTAATGCACACAACATAAGATGATTCCCAATACAGGCGTGTTTTTAATTTTGAATTATTTATAATTAATACACTTACAGGTGCTGACAATTTTCGGGAATGTATGCAAGAAATGCAAAAATTGATAAAAGTTAGGTCAGAATATTGTGTCCAATATATGAGTCAATGGTGGGACAACAAAATTTATTACATTCGTATGGAGTTGTGTTCACATAGTCTGCATAATATCCTTCAACCCAAACCACAAGTATTTGATCGACAACCGGAAGAACCGATGAATTCAATCGAGTTTTACATTTCGTGTCATATATTCAAAGAGATCTTAGAATGCGTTCAATATTTACATGAATTGAATCCTCCGGTCATTCATAGGGACCTTCACTCGGGAAATATATTACTGGCCAGAAATGTAAGGAATGGCAGGTTTTTCAAAGTGGCTGACTTTGGGTCGGCTACTATTCGCAAATCTATATCAACCGTAAGTAACCCGACCCGTGAGGCACCGGAAGTACGTAGGGGTGAGTCAACTGACCCCAAGAGTGATGTCTACAGTCTGGCCGTAACTACAGAAGAGATATTTAGCTTTGATTTGGACGATATTATGCGGTCAGTCATACAGTATGTGATTGTATTGATTATATTAATTATAAATTATCTCTATATTCAGAAGTAGTTCACAGAAGTATTCTTCAGATAATGAAGAGTTAAACAAATGTGTCGTTCATTTAAAACAAGTTTTAAAAACTATGTTATCATTAGACATAACTGTCAGACCCTCATGTAGTCACGTATTATCGGAATATAACTTATGGTCTATTGATAGGAATTGCCTCAAAACTGATCCCACATTTGATTTCACACTTAAACTTATCCAACAAAACGACAACAAGTTTTTCATTCAATATTTTAAAGCAAAATAACTTTAGTGTGAAAAATAAATACAGTGCACTTTCTATACAGTGAACGACTTGGTGACAGGGATTTTCGTGCACTATATGGAGAGTTCACTATAAGGAATATTGACAAAAAATGTTTAAATTTACAAGTCAATTGTTTTATTGTGTTAAATGATAGGGTGATATAAACTATTAATTAAAATAAGGTTTATCATTTGCTTTTAAAGAAAATAATCATAAATTAAATATAATTTGGATTTTACAAATATTTATCTGTGTGTTCTGCCTATTATTATTATGATCAAAATTTTCAAATTACTATTATTGTCATTATTTAATATAAAGTATAGTAACTGTTGACTACATAAATAGCATTTTTGATTCCAATAAGTTTAATTAAATTTTAATATCTTATTTTAAATCAATATTTCTGTCCTACCCAAAATGATTATCAATTTCAATAATAAAACAATAGACATATACTTCTTATGAGACATTTATGATACATAATCACAAAATATGAAAAGCTATATTCTGAAAGGCTAAATGTGCCTATAAATGCAGAATGTAATCAATACTGTATTGAGTATTGATATTTCATTTGAATTAAAAGTTAATCAATAGTTTAATCACTAATTAAAAATTTTATTAGAATTATTTCTATTAGAACTCATATTATTGGTTAACTAAAAATAAATATTTAATTATTGGTATTTTATTTTTAATTAATTAGGAACTTCATTAATAAATCACATTGAACCCTTCAGAATAGGCCTCTTCATATCTTAGTTTTAACACATACCCAATAGAAACAAATTATTATTGAAGTGTTTTTAAAAATGTTTTGTGAAAATATATAATTTTTAAACATTTTACACTTTATGTTACAGTAATCGCTATATTATTGCTTGAAATTATTATTTATATACACTGTATAGAGAGTTACAGTCCTTTAAACGTTGAAAATTCATGCACAATATAGAATTATACACTATATGGAAGTTCACTGTATAGGGAGTCAATTAACATTATAGGTATACAGTGGCCGTCAAATCAATATATTTC